AAAAACAAGAAATTTCATCAAGTTTTAACTTGAATAATTCTCTGTCTTGGCATTAAATATGCAACGTGTTGTAAACAATTGAATGATAATAATCAAAATGATGATTTCGAGAAATTTTCCCATTATTTTTTTTTTCTATGTCTACCATTGTATTTATAATTTTATTTTATATTTTAAGCTTGTGGGTACAGCAATGCGATTTTTATCAACATTAGCTGCACGAAGTCATCATTGTAGTATGTTTGAAGGTGGTGATACATTAAAAATTGTATGTGAACAAGTTATTCTACCGAATTTATTTCTTCGAGGTTTTATTTTAATTTAATTTTTTCTTATATTTTAAATAAATTTATATTTTAGAATCAGATGTAGAAGAATTTGAAGATAATCCAGAAGAATATATTCGAAAAGATATTGAAAAATCGGGTAAGAACTTCATTAAGAAAAGCAGAACTCTGTCATGTTCTATCTCTACGTTCATATAACTTTGTACAAATCTCTACAAAGCATATAGACTGAGAAAAATAATAGACATATGCGAAACGTGAGATAGTTTCGCAGCTATTTTAATTGAATTATGACTAATGAAAAGTTCATTTTTCTATAGATTCAGCAACACGTCGTCGAGCTGCTTGTGATTTTCTTCAAGCACTTTGTATTTTTTTTGAATCACAAGTTATTGCTTTATATAGTCAATATATTGAAGCAATGCAAAAGGTAGATTATCTCATATCTAATTATCATTTGTTAATAAATAATTTTTCTTAAGGAATATTTACAAAATCCAACACAAAATTGGTCTAAAAAAGATACATGTATTTTTCTTGTCTTAGCACTTGCTTCAAAAGGAGAAACACAAAAAGTTTGTTTGAATTCGTTTTTTTTTATATACTATGAAATATATTAATTTTATTTAGTTGGGTATTACAAAAACAAGTTCATTCATTAGTATTCCAGTTTTTTATGCTAATAGTATTCTACCAGAACTTCAAAATCTAGATGGTATGAATTTTTTTATTTTTTTATTTTTATATATATTAATGTTTTTTACTTTTCTAGTCAATAGTCTTCCTTTAATAAAAGCTGATTGTTTAAAATTTTTAATTTATGTACGAAATCAACTTGATCGTGATGCTTTAGTTAAATCTTTACCTGAATGTGCAAGATATTTATCATCACATAATATTGTTGTACAAACATATGCTGCACATGCTATGGAACGTTTATTACTTGTTCGACATCCTGCTGATCAAAAACATACAGCGTATAAAAATGAAATATTTTTCTTTCTTATCATTTACTTTTTTTTGTTTTTTTCTTTGAAGAATAACAAAGAATGATTTAATTCCATATGCACAATCAATGTATGATAAATTATTTCAAATATTAACATCAGATAAATCATATGAAAATGAATATGTTATGCGAGCTGTTATGAGATTTTCATCATCACTTCATGAAGGAGTTTTACCTTATTTAAATCAATTAATGGACAAATTAGTTCTCATTTTACGACGATCAAGTCGAGTTAGTAGACATTATTTCAACTTGCGTGTGTGTGTGTTTTTTTAAAAACCTTTATCTGATTAGGAAATTATCCTAAGTGCAGACAAAGTCACTGCGAACTGAATAAGATAGAGAAGTGATGACTTAGTAGCAGATTGTTTGTTGTGATGGAGCCAGTTCTCAAATATTTTTCTGTTAATCGAGATCGAGTTTGAAAACTTCAGATTAGGGCTGTACCGCTCACGCTCATATCAGCGCTCATGAGCGTGAGTGGTACAGCCCTACGCTCATGCTCAGGTGAGGGATGGTCGCTCACGCTCATATGAGTAGGGCTGTACCGCTCACGCTCATGTGCGCTCATATGAACGTGAGCGACCATCCCTCACATGAGCACGAGCGTGAGCGGTACAGCCCTACTTCAGATTCAATAGAGTTTAGTTGTCTGAGAAATGCGTAGCATGCGCAAAATATCGACAACCTTGCGTTAGATAGTTGCTTGAATAAAAGACTATCAAGAATTAATTTGTTTTCTGAAACTGTACAACATATACAAAACCACAATTTTGTACAAGCAGTGTCATCTTTTATTGAATTACCATCTTTGACTTTTCGTTGTTTATTTAAGACAATAAATTAATGGATATAAATAGATTTTAAAAAGGATTCTTTATATTGAATGATATTTATGATCGTCATTGTCAAAAAGTATTCTTTCTTACCCAACCGACCATCCGATAGGCATTTCGACCCCTCGATTTTCCACCGTCGATGTCTTCTAAGATACCCATCGCCGAGCCCTCGACCCATCGGAAAATGGCAAACCCAGGGGTCGATTTGAAATTCCGATGGGCAGACCTCGTGCCCCAGATAGCACCACGATACATATTACGAAAACTTCGATCCTATGCTTCTGCTAACTATCAAGTTACTCACCATCTAGCCTTGGACCCATCGAAATTTCAAATCGACCCCTGGGTTTGCCATTTTCCGATGGGTCGAGGGCTCGGCGCACCCCTCGCACGTCTTTTTTAGCTCACTTGGGTATCAAATTTTAAAATTATTACTGATATTCGAATAAATCTTTATAAAAATAAATGATAATAATGTTTTTTTTTGTAGAATCCAAATAAACCAAATTTCAATCATTATCTATTCGAAACAATAACTGTATTAATTCGTACAAGTGTAACACAAAATCTTGCTGTACTTAATCAATTCGAACAAGTTCTTTTTCCAGTATTTACACCAATATTTGCTGAAGACATTGCTGGTAAAAATAAATATTCTTTTGAGGTTTTTTTTATGTTAAATTGATATTCTATTTAGAATTCGTTCCATATGCATTACAAATTCTTGGATTTCTATTAGAATCTCATCCATCAGGGTCAACACCATTACCTGAAGCTTATCGAATATTATTTCAATCAATACTTATACCAGCATTTTGGGATCGTAGTGGAAATATTCCAGCATTATCAAGACTTTTACAAGCTTATATTGATAAAGCTGGTGATACAATTGTTCTTGAAAAAATAGTAAGTTAAATTTAATATGAATTACAAAATTAATTTTGTTTTATAAATAAAATTAAAAAAACTAGACAATTGTTCTTGGTATATTTCAACGTCTTGTTTCACAATCAAAAGTTCATGATCATGAAGGATTTGCTATATTAAATTCCTTAGTTGTTCATTTATCACGATTACATTTAGAAAATTATTTTAAAGATATATTTCTTGTTATATTTACACGTTTAACTAAAGCTAAAACACAAAAATTAATTAAATGTATTATTATTTTCTTTTGTTATTTTATTGTTAAATATGGTGCACAAGAACTTATAACACAAGTTGATAATATTCAAGCAAAGTAAAATAATTTACTTTTGTTTTTTTTTTTTTTTTTGAAAATAAAAATCTTTTGTCTTTTTTATTTTTCAGTATGTTTCAAATGGTAATTGAACGTTTATTTTTACCTGAATTATCAAAAATAGATGAAAATGATAAAAAATTATGTGCAATTGGTGTAACACATTTATTATGTGATCCAATACCAATGATAAGTGGAATTTATTTTGCACATTTATGGTTACCTTTATTACAATCATTACTTCAATTATTTGAATCAAGTAATGAATTACAAACAATGTCAGCAGCTGAGAAAAAAAAACAAGCACAAGAAGAAGCTGATGAAGAATTACTTGTTGGATTAGATGATACACCAGGTACCTATTATATATATATTAGTTGATGAGATATAGTGGATTTCATTTTTCTATAATGTTAAGCATTTAGTTTAAATTTAGATAGGAATGTCATTTTTGGCAATAGGATTTACCCTGAAATACTTTACTCAATGTTATTGTATGATCTCTTTGAAATGGTTTCAGAATTAGTTGAAATCGGTCAGATTTTCTCTAAAAATTCATAAATTTCGATTAATTTTAAATCTCATTTTTGAGACTCTATGAAACTTAATTCTTGTTATCACAATGGAGTAGAACAATTGTTAAAAACAAAAATCTGATATGATAATGAATTTTCAATATTGAAAAAAGTGTTTTTTGAAATATAGAATAAACAATTCTCTACAAAAATGAAAACATCTTCCAGCTATGTACATCGTTCTTTCATTAAAATATATCAATCTTATTAAAGACACAACATTCATTTTTTTCTACCTCCCCCGTAGGACTGATGTATCTTGGTAAAACATTGCAGACAATTGAAAAATTTTTCATTTTGTGAGAGAATAAATTACTCTATCAATCTAGACAATTTAAACAAAATTGTACATAGAAATTTCAGAAGATGGAAAACGTTAATGTTGATTTTTTAAGAAATCATATTTTCAATAATCATTTTTGATCTTCGAAAATAAAATTCTCTAGATAAATCACTATTTTAATTTTGTTCGAATAAATTAGGAAGCTATGTTTATACACCTACACATATGGGAGGAAAAAAAAACAAAATACGTCATTTGTTATATTGTTGTACCTTTATGTAAATATTTTTATTTGTTTGATTTAAGACTATACACCAGCATTTTCATGTTTGGCTTTTGCAAAGAAACCTCATACAGATATATTTAGCACAAGTATACCTGATGCTCGATGTCATCTAGCGAAATGTTTACATGCATTAACAGCTGCTCATCCGAATCAAGTTGGTCGATTGTTTTTTTTTTGCTAACTAAAAATATCTTGTTCGTTTTTTAGTTTCTTAATCTAATGAAAAGTGGTTTGTCAACGGAACATTTATCACATATACAAAAATATTGTGCATTGGCTAATGTTACACTTATATGATTATGATCAGATACTACTTTTCTTTATTTTCTTTTGTGTTGACAAAATCTATTTTCTTTAGTGAAAAAAAAAAAACCTGTATGAGACAAAAAACAAATAAAATCAAACGAATAAAATTCATTCATGATTATTATAAGAATAACATTTGAATTTATTTTTTTTTCTTTGTTTGTCAGATGAAATAATGGCTCAACGTGCTTCATCACATACAAGTCTTAATTCATTGAAAGATTCTAAGTTAAACACATCGTATCAATCAAAAAATTCAGCATTAGGTTCGAGATATGTATCGACCACTACATTATCTAAGTGTTAATCAGATATTACATTATCAAAAACAAAAAAAAAGATGAGAAAGACTTTTAAAAGTATCAGATAAAAAATCAATTGTGTAGAAGTTCATTTAGTAGATCAATAATATGTTCTTGTTATGTTTGATGATATCAGTACAATATTTAATGAAATGAAAATATCACGATAACTTAGATCGATTATCTTCTTAAATATGTTTTACCTTTTCCGATAAAAAGTTTTATGTTTCATGTTTTAATTGATTCACAAGGAGAAAAAAATGCGATTACAGTTGTAATTGAAGAATTAAGACTAAGATTTTTCAATTTTGTGGTTATCAGTGTTCAGAATTTTGTCATATTGATTTCGACTTGCCAGAAAGTTTAATACATGTCTAACTGTTTTCTGATACATTTGCACATATTTTACATGTTAATGTTGTTCCTGAATGAAATAAAAGACTATTCAGATACTTCGTCACAATGATTCTCTAGAATTACAACATTCTGTAAAGCTTCAAGTCAGTTGATTTATCATGGCATCATGAAATAGTATATCAGGTCGCCGACGACATCATGGACTTGTTAGTAAAATTGGAACAAGTTTTCGGTCAATATTTCGACGATTTTCACGTCCATCAAAAACATTAAGCGAAATGGAACTACAAGTATTATTATCAATAACAAATTTTACTCGTGAAGATATTTTAAAATGGTAAATAAATAAAAAGAAAAAAAAAAGAAAGTTTTCGAGAATATAATTTATATTTTAAGGCATGAAAAATTTTTAGCTGATTGTCCACATGGTTATATGACTCGAAAAGATTTTATATCAATGTATAAATCATTAAATCCAAATGGTGATGTTGAACGTTTTGCTGGTCATATATTTCGTGCATTTGATATTGATAAATCAAATACAATTGATTTTCATGAATTTCTTATTGGTTTATCAATGACTTCAATAACAAGTTCACCAGAAACTAAACTTGAATGGATATTTCAAGTATTTGATATTGATGGAAATGGTTTATTAACACGAAATGAATGTTTAGAAGTTATTGATATTATTGTAAGATTTAATTATATACAATCAACTGGTGAACAAAATAATTCGGAAATCGAACAATTAGTTAATTCAGCTAAACGTAGTATGATGAGAATATTTGATGATATATCTGGTGATCGATGTAATACATTAACAATGGCACAATTTGTTGAAGGATGTCAAAAAGATGCATTTATTTCACAATTATTAGCACCAAATTCAGGAACTGGAAATGGAATGACAACTACATCAAATACATAAAACATTCCCGACAGTTAATGAATAATAAAATACGGCTCAATATCTCATCGTGCTTTCATTTTTATTTATAAATGCATTTCAGATTGATTTGTCTCAATTATTTTTGCATCTGTATTTTTTTGTTTTCAATTCACTTTATTTTATTCGAAGAAACTTATATACATCTTTTGTTTTTGTGTAAAAATAAATAAATATTCTGTACAAGCAACCAAGAAAAGGTGTTAATGTAGTAATGCATTTGGTTAACTTGTTTTAAAAATATGTTGATGATCATAGACAGAGGTTTGCTTAGCAACAATTATTGATATGTTTTCTTTTAATTTCTATCATACTGCATAAATTTGTTTTCTTAAGATCTTATCGAACTTCTAGTGTATTAATAATATATTCTATCTGATTTAATTTCTTCTCATAAAAATTTGATATGATTGGTATATGTTATTAATACTAAGCATTTGACTATTAAAAAAATGTGTCATCTCACATTTTATAATTTAGATTTTTTGTCAATATTACTGAAGATTTACTTCAGATTCGATTCGAATCGGTTTCATCGTGTTTTAGTTCCATTTAATGGTCTCCTAGTTCGATTCTTATATTATTCATTACAATGATTCATAATTATATTTAATATAATAAAGAATAACTCGTATAATAAAAAATACAGAACTTATCAACATGTTTAACGCACAGACGCGTCATATATGTGTTAGCGTTCAATCTGAGATCTAGCATTGGGTGGACATTAATCCAGGTCATTTTTGGATTGATCAGTTACAATACGTTCAATCTAAGATTGACCTGAAAATTTTAGACGAGTCACAGGTTTATGTAGGTTAATGACGGTTTGAAAGGTTACTACAGCCAATCTTGAATCGATTAACAGATTACACTAAAGCAAAAACTCATCATAGCTAATGAAATTTTATATTCAACGACATACAACATAAAATTTTAAGCGAATCACATAAAAATTTTCAAGACAAGGTGTGTGTGTAGATGTATTTGTTCTGTTAACCTGATACGTACAATTGACATATAAACTAACTTTTTCGAAGATTGTTTTAGCATGAACGGTACGTCAATTTCATTCATATTTTTTCTGTTTTAGCTTTTATTCAATAAATTTTTTTTGAACTGAACCAACATCTGAACATATAATACAATATATACTCTTAAAAAACTAGGCTTGTTTACAGAACCTATAAAGAGTCTCTTCCTGGATAAAAACTCGAAGTCATTTTTGGTTTTGTACCAAATCCATAAAAGTTTTTTCATTTCACGGATCTTCAAACAGCTTTTAGTTAGATGATACGATACCAAAAATGGTTTCGAGTATGTATTCATACGAAGAACTTTTTTAGGTTCCGTAACAAAAATTTTTTCAGAATGTACCTAGTCTCTACTTCGAGATTGGTTGTATTAATCCACCATTGGCTTAGAAAAGAATACAAAAGTGACATTGAATATTATATTTTGAGTGTAGATAAGAGTTCTGCTCCATTAATCGTAATAATTTTTTCATTTACAGTAAAATCAGATAATTTCCTTATTTGTATTGTTTATATTAATTTTTAAACACGCTATAATTATTTTCTTCATTGAGTTTGATAGAGCATAAAACTCTATGAAATGTTGTAATTTGAGACTGTCAAGCACGTGAACACAATAAAAGTCTAATAATTGCTTTTATGTCTATGAGAGAACTAACTCGCGTTCTATGCTGAAACCCACTTTGGTTAAGTATCATGCATGTCTCTCAAACGATTGATTACACTCGTGTTGTGTATACGTGTTTGATAGTTTCAAAGCACATCATTTTGTAGAAAACTTTGTGCCTAATCAAACTCAATGAGAAAAATAATTATAGAGTCTCAAAAACTAATGTAAACAGTGTAAATAATGAAACAATTTGGTTTTATTGTAAATGAAACATTTATCGCGACCAACGAAGCAGAACTTTTATCTACACTCAAAATATATCATTCGATGTCATTTTTTTGCTCTCTCCTCTTTAGTCATTTACTTTATTTTCTTAACTTTGTGCTTTATAACTATGAAGAATTCGAACTTTTCATGAAAACTATAATGAGACGACACTATAGATTTCGGTATTGAAGATTGCAACGTACTCTCAGATGAAGATTTTTCAAAGTAAATTAATGTATGGTGCCAGGCACGTTCTACTCTGTTAGTAGATGTCTTTAGTAACAGAACTATTACCTGTTGTGTTGAACAAAGCATGATAATATGCGAGTAGATTTTAGTTGTTTTTAAAATTTTTTCCACTCGAGAAAAAATAAAAACTTATTTGTGACGCAGAGACTAAAAGTTGTGGAATCTCTCTATATGCGCTTACTTACCATAGATCCTGCCTAAGTATATCAGTCATTCAAACTTTCTTAACCCGTACCTTTGCTCAGCAAAAACAAACAATATTGTTCTTAAGGGCTCCACCCCGCTCAGAAAATCCATTTTTTCGATAAAGTAATCGAATTCGAGTTTTTATCATAGGACGATGCAGTAAAGATTCCTCTTTCAGAATACATATAAATTTTTAAAAAAAGGCCAAATTTTTACAGACTTTAGTAGGAGATTTCCACCTCATTACCCAGTTTTCGGAGAGATTTTTGCGATTTTTGTTATTTTTGGAAAGACTACTTTTTTTACTAATATCAGCATGGAATAAACATTCTTATATCATATAGCACGACCTGTAGTTCTAGCTTACGCCATCTATTACGTGCTTTCAAAAATTCCACATAAATATTATCAATATACCATTATTTTCTGCATTTGAATGAAAAAATCCATTTCTAAAACTTCTTTAGCGTTTTTCTCAGAAGGTGAGTTTAACAACACATTTTCAAGAATACTCAACCACAGTACAAGATAAAATCCAATATTTTTTTTGTTTGAAAGAACGTCAAAGACTGCAGGTGTTCTGAGGCTCCTTTTTTTAAATTCAACTTTAGTTTTAGTACAAAAAAAGACATATATATGAATGGATACCCAGTTTTTGTGTGTTTTCAACGAGTTTTTTTGAGATATTGAACTTTCTACTGATTGTTTTCATATATAAAGTAAGAATATAAAAAAAGGAGCCTCAGAGCACCTGCAGCTTTTGATACTCTTTCAAACAAAAAAAAATATATACATATGTTCAATGAAGTCCCACAGAGAATTCTTGTAGACAAAATCAGCTGTTTTTTGATCCTTGTTTGGTCAATATCTTCCTCCAGACACATGATACTGAGCCGAAAAGTTTACCACAGCCTCCTCACGTTAGTACCAACAAATTCTAAAAGTTGTATGCGATTTCAGCGTAGCCGGCCTGAGATCGCTTTTTGAGGAGGATCTTAAAATTTTTTTCATTACTGTATACAATGAAAAGAGTAAAGTATTTTTTGTTTTTATGGACTTGCTATATTGATTTTCTAATTGTAAATCTTAACAATGAAGTACACGTGTAATAAAATCTGTAATGGTGAATTGCATGGTAGTTGTTGTTTGCTTTTTATATTCAATATATGTATCTTTACAATAATCGCTGATAGAATGAAGATAACTGAAGGCTTATCACCTTCTTTTGAATCTAAAGGTGCCATGATCGAACTACAAAGAGACTGAAATAAGAAAGGACCCATAAGGGATCATCGAATGGGACTGACATATGTAGGACCGAATCGAACCCAATCAGAGACTGACTCTACTAAATAATGTACTTTATTTGATGTAGATTTCTGTCATTCGTTTGTCTTTGCAGCGATAACATCCCAACTGATAAAGAAAATATAAAGTGTATTTAACAAAATATGAAAGACTGTTAAAAGAGAAGTGAACGAACAAAAAAAAAGAACATATTAACTTACGTAAATAGACAAACAAACGTATGTTAAATTCGTCTATATAGAAAAAAACAAAACGTCAACGATGAGTTTGAAAGAGACAATAAATCAAATCTTTTATGATAATACAAATTATTTACACGCACAACAAGCACTTAATCAAGCTCGATCACTCAAATCTTTATCCAATGATTTATACACTGATCCACTTCGTTTTGTTTATGAACTTGTACAAAATTGTGATGATGCTTGTGAGTCAAAATCTATAGTACGCATCGCCATTTTAGATCATCGTTATTTAATCGTTGGTCATAATGGAAAACCATTTGACAAGAAAGATATACAAAGTCTATGCGATATTGGATGTAGTACAAAAGGACAAAATGTTCAAACAACAGGTTACAAAGGTTTAGGATTTAAAGCTGTTTTTGGAAAATCTGATTATGTATTAATTGTATCGAAAGGAGAATATTTTCGATTTGAAGCTAATTCTAAAGTATTTAATTGGAATCAAAAATGGGGAACTAATCAAATAACATGGGAACAAATAAATAATAGGAAATTTGAATTTCCTTGGCAAATATGTCCTATTTGGACTGAAATAAATGAAGTTCCTGAATCGATTCAAAAATGGCTTTTAGGACAAGTTGATACTACAGCAACTATAATCCGTTTGAAAAACATTGAAGAAACACAAAATGCTGTTAAGCAACTAACAGATCAACCTCATGTATTCATGTTTCTTCGAAATATAAGAACTGTACGATTTTCTCTCAATTCTCCAAATGAAACAATTTTAAACATTACTCGTCTTCGAGATGGATCTGTAAAAGTTATATATGATTGGAAGCCCATATCACATTGGTTATTATCGACATGCAACATAGATGTTCCTGACAATGCACGAAATGATTTTCGTTTACCAGAAAAACTTCAAGATGCAAAACAAACTGAAATGATTCTTGCTGCAAAAATCGATAGAAATGATAATATTGAAAGTATTAAAGGTCGTAATAATGCATTATTTGCTTATCTTCCAACAAAAATAACAACCTACAATTTACCTATATTAATCAATGCCAATTTCTTGACCAATGCTAGCCGAGAACATATCCATACGGATTCAGTATGGAATCAATTTCTTTTCTCTCG